CGGCCGTTGGGGTGACGAGACCCTCACTCTGCTTCGCCGTCTGGCGCAGCGGCGCGTCCCCCCACCCGCCAGCTCTGCAGAAGACCGTGCATTTTTTCATGAGGGTGTCATGAACCATTGGGGGCAGTGTTTGTCGGTCGCGCTGATGCGCTGGAATGCTTTTCAAGTGTCCTGCCGCGCTCATCATGCGGCCGATGCTCGGACACAGCAGCGGGCGGTGCTGCAGGGTGATCAGAAAGGGGTATCTGAATCATTGATGAGAATCGTGACTGATTGATTCGATCCTCATAGAGAAACGCTTCGCTAGGAAAGGGAGGGAAGCGTTACATCTTCCCTTGTCCTCGCTGTGCCTCTCCTTTTGGTTTCACGGTGGCACCAAACGCCTTGTAAACGGAATGACGAAGCACCCCTAATTTGAAGGAAGGTGCCCTACAAAGGAAGGTGCCCTACAAGCGATCATTCATACTGCGGGGTGCTTCGGAAGCACCCCTACGACAAACCCCAGGAACCCTAGACAGGGCGAGAAGGAGAATGACCCCTTTGACCTCATCGCCAATTGCCGACATTCAGTGTGCAGCAGTTGTTTCATTCGTTTTTCATCGTTTCGACCTCCCTGTGTTGATTTCCATCGTCAGCACAGGCAGATTCCAGACCAGCTGTTGTAAGCAGCAGCTAGGTGTGTGCATCGTGTGTCACAAGTGACACATTGTGTGTTCGTGCGTTCGTTCGTCGTTCGTCGTCCGATCGTCCGTTCATTCGTTTGTTCTGCCCGTCCGTGTGACAGACAGTCAGTCGTTGATAAGAGCAGTCCCCCGTGTGTGCGAACAGAGATAGCTTGAGCCTTCAGTAACAGAAACCTTCACACACCCAATCAAACACTCACTCTCACTCACCAGCAACACTTCATCCAGTATCCTCGAGCTTTGTGCTATTACTCATAGCACATCGGACACAGACACCGCGAGAAAGAAAGCGGCAACAGCGGGTCTGTTTCCTGAGGACCTCATCTCTCGAGGGCCCTACAGGGCACAAACCCGCACGTTTGCCTGCCAGGACCGGCCGTGAGGGATTGATTTGGGGACGTGTTGTTATGGGTCGGGCTTGGGTTGCATGGTGGTTTGGTAGGGCAGGTGATAGTCGCTTGTGTGATTGCGTTTGATGGGCTGTTCGGTTTATATCAGAGTGCTGCTATCATCCATGCCGTATGGTGCGCATGTGTTTCTGCGATCGCTTGTGTCTTTGCGTGTGCAAATCCATACCGACTCTAGATCAGACGTGCTGGTCGCCCATGCTTCCGTGTAAACGATTCCAAATCCACGGCAGCCATTCATTAATTTGAGTATAAATATTGGCGTGGCAACTTGGCTCCCTGTATGTGCGTGTTCTTGGCCACCTCATGGATGCGGCACCCTGGCTGCAGCCGAACAGGCGCACAACGAGAGCCGCCAGCAGCAGACGGCAACCATCGAGGCCATGACCGTGGAGCTTCGACAGCTGCAGGTGGGTATAGATGAGTACACGGACGAGCGAGCGAGTGGGCTGGGGGCATGTCATACATGTCTGGATGTCTTTGTGTGTGGGTGTGTCATTTCATGTGTGTGCAGGATGCCAAAAATGAGGTGGAGGGCCGACTGCAGGGGCAGATGACGCGCAATATCGAGCTGGCGCACGCCCTTAAGACCGCCCAACAGCAGATCAAGGTACGCACATACACCCAACCTGCCTGACCTGTGTTGTGTTGTGTTTGGTTGTGTATGTCAGAGTGCTGTTGACCGACAGTCCGCCTCCCAGCAGAGCCATTGTGGCGACAGGGCGGGCGATGCGGCCGATGCAATGCACGAGATCCGGCGACTGAGGGGCGAGATTGAGCGGCTGCGGGCATTGATCACGAAGTCACACCACCACGCCGAGCGCTTCAAACAGGCTACCGACAAGCAGGTATGTACGCAGCCGCAGCCGAAAGTCTTGACCCTGTGTGTCCTTCGCTCATTCATCCTGATCTCTGCAACGCTCTGCTCTGTTCTGCCTGCCCGATCGACCATGCAGGCTGAGTCGCTCAAGATGGCGCTGCAGGCATCCAACAAGAAGGCCAGCCTGTATGCCGAGCAGGTCGCCTCCCTCTCCCGACAGCTTTCTGAGTCGACGGTGCGGCACGGGCAGAGGGGGACCATGCTGCTGCACGAGCTGCAGCGACGGCCCCAACCCCGCCCAGCGCTTGAGCACTATGCCATGGCTATAGGGGCTCTGTATCCTCGACTATTCGGTCAGTGAAGACAGACAGACAGACCAAGTGCGGACTGCACATAGCCGCGTCTCTCTGTCTGTCTGTCTGTCTGTCTGTGGGTGTGTCTTTTGTCTTGGTGCAGGAGGGCGAGGCGACCGACGGCAGTGAAGGACACAGGCCAGGCTGTGTTGAATTGATTGCAAGATGTGATTTCGGATTGGCTGTGTGAGTAGGTGGGCTGACGTGGTTGTGTGACTGAGGGTGTTGGTTCCCATGTCTGTCTGTGTGCTCACTCATTCACTCAAATGTGTATGTCCACGCACAGCACACGACAGGCAATGAGTCCAGGAGATGTATGGGTGTCACGGGCCAGCATGCCACGCAGGCAGACAGAACCGACGGATCGACGTACGTGTCAGCGACACCCATGCACAGCATCCACCGCACCTCACATACGTAGCGTACATAGACACAGAGACAGTCGCCGAGATGGTCGGCATGCATGGGCAAGCAGCTAGGCGCGTACATCACATCACATCACATCACATCACCGTCACAAGGAAGGAAAGTCATCACACACACGATCTCTCATGGACCACACACGCTAATGGATGGCACACTCACTCGCACACAGGGACCATTGAAAAAACAAACCGACACTGGCGAACGAACTACATTGGTCTAGTCAAGTGCAACAGACATCCATACACACAGCACAGCACAGAACAGAACAGACAGGACAGGTAGGCTATCTATCGACACGCAAAACGAAGGGCAGACGGACGAGTAGGAAAACCCACCTGCCTCTTCTCACCAACCATCACTCTCCACACACTCAATAAACCTCACTGACCAGGACCAAGTTGAAGCCGCGGAGTCAAAATCGCTCAGGGGCGCGCCGACAAACAGACAAGAGAGCAAGACCTGTGGTGGTGGCCTGAGGGGACGTCAGCCAGAAGCGTCAGGTGCATCAGCCGCCTTTCACTGCTCAACCGGCGGCAGCAGCGACCCCGAACCAGAAGACGCGAACCCCTCTGCAGTGTCGTCATCATCGCTTTCAGGAGGCGCCTCCACCTGCTGCCCAATGGCGCCCACGGTCGTCTCATCACCGTCAACTCCCTCCAGGTATGGGTGGGGAGGTGTCGGATGGGGGCACCGATGCCGAATCCACCGCACCCGAGGGCGGCGGGACGCGATAGTCGTCGTCCGGGTTCCACTCGTCGTCGTCGTCAACATCAGTGGTCACCGTGCTGTTGCCTGCTGCCGGGATGGTGCTCGCTGTGCTGTTGGTCGTTGTGCCGCCAGGCACCGTGCCGTTGGTCAGTCTGCCGCTGGTGGCCGTGGTGTTGCTCGGTGGTTCGACCACTGTGCTGTTACTTGGCCCTCCGACTGCTGTACTATTACTTGGGCCTCCCACAGCTGTGCTGTTACTTGGTGGTCCGGCGATGGTGCTGTTGCTCGGTCCTCCAACCTCTGTGCTGTTGCCGCCTCCGACCTGTGTGCTGTTGCCTCCGGGCGGCTCTGTGCTGTTGCCGCCTCCGGTTTGTGTGCCGTTAATTCCTCCAGCCTCTGTGCCGTTGCCGCCTCCAGGCTGTGTGCTGTTGCCTCCGTCGTCTGTGCCGTTCGTGCCGTTGTTTCGTCGTGGGATTCGCATCGAGTCCCTCACCACCTCAGCCAATGTCCAGGTCCGTGTGGTCGTGTTGCCGCCATCGCCCGGCGTGGTCGTGTTGGTCGTGTTGCCGCCATCGCCCGGCGTGGTCGTGTTGGTCGAGTTGCCTGGCTGAAGCCTGGTGAAGGTCTGGGTGATGTTGACCAGCCGCAAGAAAGCCGGTCGGACGTTCCTGTATCGCTGATTCAGGTTTTCCAAGGGCGTCGGCGCAGTCTCAACGGAGGCAGCTGCACCACGGGAGGGGTAGTAGGGATAACTGCGGTACTGCAGACGGCGAAAGGATGAGCGGTAATTGACCTCCTCCTGATATCAACACACACACACACACACAGAGAGAGAGAGAGAGAGAGAGAGAGAGGGAGAGGGGGGGGGGGGGGGGGGGGGGGGG